AATATAATCATGAAATAATCTGATTATTAGCAAGCTATTTTCCTAAACTAATCACAAATAATCAGAATAGTTCTGAAGTATAAAAGATATATAACACTCCGGAAAATGCTCATATATTAGGAGTAAAATATGATTAGTATCTGATTATTTTCAGAATATTTTCGAAAACAGAAATATTTCTGGAGTATAATTTAGTTAATAAACCAGAATATTTTCTGAATATTTTCTAAATATTTCTAATACAATAATCCAGAATATTTTCAGAATACGATAATATATTTTTTTTTATAGTGTTATAGATTGTATATTGTATTAATAAGATCTGAGCTTATTAATAATGAATACTGCTTTTACTCTACTTTGCATATCTATCTATTCTTTACGAGTATTATATTATATAATTTTTTCATATATCTATCTATATTATTAAAATGCTCAACTAGCCAATCCAAACTTTCTTTTGTAGTTATACTTGAATAGGGCATATAATCTATCTATATTATTAAAATGTAAACATCTGTTTAACTAGCCAATCAGAAATTACTTTTGTAGTCATATTTGAATAAGGCTTATAATTTATCTATATTAAATGCAAATGTCTATTCAACCAATTAAATAATTGTTATATGCTGGGCTTGGTTTGCCTTACATATATATATTTTTCACCTACCAATTAGTTAATTATTACATGCTAGGCATGGGTTTGTCTTGCTGTGCCTAGATCTTGTGTATATATATATTTTATATAACTTCTATCTATTTATCTATTCATCTATATTATCTATCTACATTATATTATACTGTATATTTATCTATCTATCTATATTATTAAATGCAATTGTCTGTTCAACCTACTGATTGGTAAATTGTTACATGCTAAGTCTGAGTTACCAATACTAGAGCATAGGATTAATTTTCTAATCATGTGATTTTTCAAGCTAAAATTAGCTAATGAGAAGTCATGATTAGGTGTGATATAATAAATCAAAACAAACTCTTTTTAAAGATATTGAAATTTAATCTAATTAAAATTTTTCTTGTGCAATTTTACTATTAGAACAGCCTTTATAACTTTAAAATGAACTTTCATCAAACCAAAACCTTAATGTAAACAAAAATTCCAAGTTTTCTTATATTGTTATGTAATTGGAAAATCAATTTTAAGCCTTGTCAATTTTGGTCTGGGTTTGTATATATATTTTATATAACTTGTCTATATTGTTAGCAAACATTTGTTCAATCTACTAATTAGATAATTGTTATATACTAAGCCTGAGTTTGTCCTGCATATGTATACATTTTATTCAACTTTTTAGCAAATGTTTATCTGATAATTATTATGTGCTGGGCCTAGGTTTGTTCTGTATATATATATTTTATATAACTTGTCTATATTGTTAGCAATCAAATAATTGTTATGTGCTGAGTTTGTTTTGTTCTAAAAACCTCTAGCTGTTTTACAAAATTTTTTCTACTCCTTGTAATAAAGACCAATCAAATTTCAGAATTAGATATAATGTAAAAATTAAGACAAAACAAAAAAACAAAAAATTTTAATTAAGAAACTGCTTTCTGTGGTCTTATAAAAAAAGTTTCTTGTAAAATTTTACTTGTAGACATTATATTATCCTAGTATATTATTAAAATACAAACATCTTTTCAACTAGTTAATCAGATATCTGCAATAATATAATATTGCATAAATCATTATACAATCTGGTGTTATATAGGATTTTTGTGCTCTGATCTTATAAGTATCTGTAGCTATTGATCACTTAGTTTTAAACACAACATAAAGATATTTAAGAATCTATAAAGATCTCTCAGATCCCACATAAGTAATCTTATGATATGTTATGCTTGATACTTGATCTTATATCTTTATATTCTTTCACATTGTATTTATTAGTGAATAAAATTTGTATTGAATATAAATGTAAATAAAAGTGTAGGTCTTGTTCTTAAAAACATAAATAAAAATAGCTTTAATATTCTATTCTATATTCTTAGCTCTCAAAAGTATATTAATTAATAAAGAGATAACTTATATAATACAGCTATTGTATCTTTATATACATTAGTCATTTTGCTTCTCTTGATAAAGCCTAGCAAAACCTCTTTGTTAAGTCATATATTCAACATCCTTACCTAATCAAATCACAAGATCATAGTCTTCATACTATAATTGCTATGTTTCTTGAACTACTATCAGGAGGTGTAGTTCAGGTGTAATAATTTAGTAGTGACTATAAGATAAGAAACTCAATTTGTAAGATCAAGACTCAATTTGTAGTCACTTGTTATGGCAAAACTATAAAAGAATTACATTATATGAATTTCTTTGATTGACTAAAAAATTATATTAGCAATATTCATTGCAATTGTGCTATTAGATTTATTAGTAGAATATGCTTCTGAATACTAATATTAATTAATAATAAGCATACTTATATCTATTAACTAAAGGAATATCAACATGGTAGTAACTAATGATTGCAATCAATTGTTTTGCATTGTTAGATAGTTTATTAATTTTAATAGATGAATACATAATAAAGATAATTTGATTCTATAAATTGATATTATGGTTTTAGTTAAGTCAGTAATTTGGCCTTGGAGGCTGGTTTTATCCTTTTGAAGATGGTTAATGATCGTTTGCTTGGCTTGTTGTTCTTGCTGAGCTTTTTCTTGGGTGTTTTTTAAGGTTTGGTTAGTTTGCTGGAGTTCGTTCTCTAAATGGTTAATCCTCTGGGTTTTTTGCTCGGAGATTTGGTTAAGGTCAGTTTCTCGTTGGGAAGCTTGTGAAAGTTGGGTTTTTAAGTTAGTTATTTCCTCCTGGGCCAGGTTATAGTCAGCTTTTCATTGCGTTTCTTTTTCGTTCAAGTTTTTTTGGCTTTGGGTTAGTTTTTCTTTTCACTCAGCTTGAAGTTGTTCTTTTTCGGCTTGGTGGTTAGTTATTAATTTGGCTTTTTCTTGGGCTCAAGTCTGCTGGTCTTGGGTTCAATTTTGTTCTAATTGGGTTAAAAGTTCCTGGCTTTCTTTTTTGTTAGCTAGTTTTTGTTTGGCTAAGTTAATTAAGGCTTGCTGTTCTTGTTCCAATTTTTGTTTTCTTTGCTCGGCTAAGAGGGTTAAGGCAGCATTGGTTTTTTTTAAAGTGGTGATTTCTTTGTTTAAGTTTTCTACCATGATTACGTCGATGGAGTTTTGCAGGTTAGTGAGGTCATTTTGGAGAATGTTTCTCTCTTGTTGTCATTGCTGGCTTTGGTAAGCTAGGTCATTTTTTCATATTTGCCAAAGCATTCTTTCACGGTAGTTTATAATTAGATTTGCACTCCTTTCACTTGGTTGAGGTTTTTAAGTTTTCATTTTTTTAGGAATTCTTTGACTTCGGCTTGTTGTTTGATTCTTTTGTCAATTCAGGGCTTCATTTTAGTGATGAATTCTTGGCTGCTAGTAAAAGGTTGGTTTTGTCAACTTCACTCAGAGAGAATGGAATTAAGGTCCTGCTCTAATTTAAGGCTTCGGCACCGTTCTCTTTTTTTGGCTATTTCTCCTCTTAATATTAGCATACTTACCTCCTAGGCCCGGACTAGAGCTCAAAAATTAATAAAAGAGATCATGCCTCCTACTACTTCCACATGATAGGCAAACTTTTCCAGACCTCCACTGAGAGTTTTCTCGTATTGGATCTCTTCAGAGTTGTTGATACGATAAAAGATCAATTTCTCATCATGGATGGTGGCTAAGACGTTGTTTGCTAGTTTTTTGACGATTACTTCCTTAAAAAGCTTGTAAGGGTTAAGATTAGAGTTCCGAGCTCTGATAACCACTTTCGCATTCCTTGGTCTATTTCTGTATTATTACGTAGTGATTCAGATTTATATTCTTAACTTGCCTTATATCATAAAAATATAATTTTTGAATTGAAAAGTTAATTTAATATATTAATATATATAGTAATATTTGTAGTTATAATAATCATTCTAGAAGACTTGTATTATATTGCTTACTTGTTTAGAGTGATTAACCTCTTTATTATCATTGCAAGCTTTATATTATTCCAGAGATTAGCAAATAAAGCATCTATAAAAATATGAAAGTAATATTAGTAGTAGTTAAAGCCAAGAAGTCATTAGTTATATATAATATTTTTAAGATCGATATAGATAATGTTTATAGAATATTTCAAGTTGAATATCAACCAGAATTAAAATCAGAATATATTAGTGAATAGGCAAGATAATAATAAGAAACAATAGAACAACAATATTAATAGGTTCGAATTTCCTCATAGTACAACTTGATAACTTAAGAAAATTTAGATATTAGAGTTAAAATACCTTGCACAGGTCAAAAGAAACCATACCAGAGAAATATCAGGATGCCGATATACACTGATATAAGTACTAAAGTGAGTCGAAGATGTACTGATATTAATTGCCAATTTTTAACTGGAAGGTATCTGATATTAAACCGGAGTTTGGCAGGAATCAGATACCTTTCGAATTTCTATCGAAGGAATTTCTGGCAATATTGGCAATACCAATATTGATATTAATTTACTGATATTAACTACTTATCGAAATATCAGAGCCTTATAGTATACCATTTGTTGTAATATTATTATTATTTAAGGGTAGAGTGTATGTAGATCATTTTTCATATGATCTACATGGTATATTAGATTTTTATATAGTAAATAAAAAA